CTTTCTGACAAAATTGTAAAGGATGAAACATGCGATGACCCAGAGCCTCATCTCTCACCAATACTTGATCTATTGGTGGTGATATTTTTGTGTATTTCTATTGCAACCTCATGTCATGGTGAGCTGAGCCATCAATATCTTTAAGACTAACCGGACTTGAGAAACAATTTAGAAAAATCATTCTTGCAACTTTGTTTCTCTAGAACCACTCTTGGTACCAAATGTCTTAGGCTGAGTTCTCTAGAGAAGCAAAACCAGTATATATATATGGGTCAGACGTCAGGCAGGAGGCTTCTCCTGACTCATGCATATGCAGGGGCTGATGAACCCAAGATCAGCAGGTCAGACAGCAGGCTGCTGGCTCACAGGCTCTGGAGGCCAACAAATCCAAGATCAGCCAGTAAGCTGCTAGCACAAGTCCCAAGAACCAGAAGTCAGATGATGACAAGCAGGATGCAGAATCCAGAGCAACAGCCTTGTTGGAACATCCATTTATATACTGCAGGCAGGCCACACCCCCAAGAAAACTCCCTTTTAACTGATTAGCTGCTCATAGCTGATCTCATCGTGGAGTTGATTTCACCATTACATAACTGCTAAATTACATCATTACATAACTGCCAAAGTACATCAGAACTGCCAAATCATCGAGAATCATGGCCCAGCCAAGTTGACACAAAACTTTAACCATCATACCCCTATACCTGTGGTTATAACCCCATTGGGGAATGGATTTTATTATGTTAATGAGGCAGTATTGTTGTAGGGTGTGTCTCAAATCCATCTCTTTTGAGATATGAAAGAGCAGATTAAGCAAGCAAGCAAGTACAAATGAAGGGGAAGATACACATGACATGATCACCAAGGAACCTAGGAATAGAAGCTGAAAAGAGACAAAGACCTTCTCCCAGAGCAGACAGAAAGAAAGCCTTCTTCTAGAGCTGGCACTCTGACTTCAAACTTCTAGTCTCCTGAAGTGTGAGAAAATAAATTTCTATTCATTAAAGCCACCCGCTTGTGGTATTTCTGTTATAGCAGCACTAGATAATTAAGATACTACATATCCAATCACTTGGAAAACTTTGAAAAAGTTAAGTACCCTGGAGATTCTGATTTGTGAATTCTGGAGTGAGAGCCAGGAATCTGTAAAAGTGATATAAAGTTTATGTTAATTTATTAAGGGAATTCCTATTCTGACACAGCTAGCTATGTGAGTCTTGAGACTGGTCCCTTATTTCAGTGCTTTTCAAACTCTAATGTGTATGCAAGTCACTTGCATATCTTACTAAGAGGCAGATTCTGATTCAGTAGGACTGGGCTAGTTCCCAAAAATCTGCAGTTCCAGCAAGCTCCCAGATGAATCCATGCTTCTGCTCCAGTGATCACACTTTGAGTAGTAAGATCTTACAGGATCTTTCAACATTTCAACAGGTAAATGACAGAAGGCATTCCCCTAGGCAGTTCCTGCCACTGGAATATTTTCTTGAAGTTGTATCTAAACATCCTTTAGCAGAGCTAGAGTACACAATTTGCAAAGTACTTGACTTATCTTTACTATGTATCCTACTATCAAGTAGACAGAAATTATTACCCCCATTTACAGACAAAGTAACACAAAAAGATGAGAGGTACTAATAATGTCACAATGCAGAGACAAAATTAAAATTTACATAATTTTCAATGTGTTCAACACAGCTATGGTTACAATAGTGAAATAATGGAGAAAAACATAGATGTCAGCAACAGAGGACTGCTTAAATAAGATATAAGACAATCTTACAATCAAATACTAGACATCTATTTAAAAAAGAACATGAAATACAATGAAAAAATGTTCATGATAAGTGAAAAAAATTACAAAATCTTATAGTATGATCCCATTTGTGAAACAAAAACATATAAACATTCATATACAGATTTATGCAAAAGAAAAAGTCCAGAAAGATATATACCGAAATGTTTAAAGCATCCTCAAAGTAGTGGAATTTCAGGTGATTTTGATGTTTGCTTGCTTATATTATATAGTATTTCCACTATGACATATACCTTATAAAATTATTAAAGGTAAAAATGAGATGAGGAAGAAGCCAAGCAAACCCTACACATACACACACCTTTTAAAGAACACTTGACTGATAAGTAACTTGCTTTCCAAAGAGTGGTCAAGAGACTTCCCACATTAGAAGCACTTACAAAGCTAGTTAAAATTGCAGAGTCTTGCACACACCCTAGACTTACTGAATCGGAATCTCTGACAATAGGCCCAGGAATCTGCATATGAAGCAAACATATAAAGTTTGAAAACCATGGTGTTAACCAAAAAGCTTCCTAGAAATGCAGGGACCTGGACTAAATTTCAATCTATCAGGATGGCAACCTACAGCAAATTTAGAATAGGTGAAATCGTGGTACTTTATACATACATACCCACACTCACAGAGACCACTAGAATTTAAAGGGCCAGAAACAAGAACACATTAGCTGCTGAGTTTAATGCTACACCATGTAGGAGGCAGCAGGATGCAATGAAGGAAGGACTGAGAGGGGATAATAGGGAGGAAAAAAGCAATCAAAACCAACATGACTCAAGTGTCTACATGGACTAACCAGGCATTTTCTCAGCAACCCCTCATGGCTGACTGAGTATGAGTCTCATTCCACAGGTCAGTAAACTTAGGCCAAGAGAGGTTAAGTAACTGGTCCAAGGTGGCACAATTATTAAGAAGGACCAGAATTTGAACTCTGGCATTCTGACTCAAAAGTGTCTGTTCTTTCCACCACTGAGGAAGCTACAGCACTTTGTGATCAAGAGTATAGGCTTTGAAGGCAGAATACCTGTATTTGATTCTAGCTCCTGCCACTTACCAGCTGTGTAACCTTGGGCAAGTCACTTCAGCTCCCTGAGCCTCACTCACTTTCCCCATTAGTAAAATGGTGATGACAAGAAGAGTATCTAATTTTCACAGGGCTGCTGTGAGGATTAAAAATAGTATAAGTGAAACACTTAGCATGTAGTAAGTGACCCATAAATGATAGCTAGTGGTGCTCATAACAATAGAATATCATACTACCCAAGTTCTAGATTCGGAGCCCTGGTGGTGCAGTGATTAAGAGCTCAGCTGCTAACAAAAAGGTCGGTAGTTCGACAGCCACTCCTTGGAAACCTGCTAGGGAAGTTCTCTGTCCTACAGGGTCACTATGAGTCAGAATCGACTCAACGGCAACAGGTTTTGGTAAAGTCTAGATTCAGGTTCTGGAACTAATGCACCCAGTTTTTACCTCCCTTCTAGGGAGCTCTGGTGACACAGTGGTTAAAGTGCTCAGCTGCTAACCCAAAAGTTGGAGGTTCGAACCCATGAGCCACTCTGTGGCAGTCTGCTTCCATAAAGATGACTGTTGTTGTTAGGTGCCATCGAGTCAGTTCTGACTCATAGCAACCCTATGTATAACAGAGCTAAACACTGCCCAGTCCTGAGCCATCCTCACAATCATTGCTATGCTTGAGCACATCATTGTAGCCACTGTGTCAATCCATCTCATTGACAGTCTTCCTCTCTTTCACTGACCCTCTACCTTACCAAGCATGATGTCCTTCTCCAGGGACTGGTCCCTCCTGATAACATGTTCAAAGTATGTGAGACGAAGTCCTGCCATCTGTAAAGACTACAGCCTTGGAAACTCTACGGGGCAGTTTTACTCTGTCCTATAGGGTCACTATGAGTCAGAATCGACTTGACAGCAATGGGTTTGGTTTCTATTGGTTTTATTCAATCTTAATTGTAAGCATCCCATGTGAACACTGACCATTTCCCATGAGCTAATTGAGGTCACACAGGTTTTCCTTATATTTGACCTATATCTGTCTGAAACTATTCTTTTTTTTTTCATGGTTCATATGTTTTATTTATTTGGTGACGCATTCACTCAATTACTCAACAAACATTTAGTGAGGGCCTACTATGTGCCACATTCTGTAAGAGGTACTGGGAACAAAGGGGTAAAGCAGACAGACACAGTTTCTGCCCTGACGGCACTTAACAGATGAATTTCAGAAACAGACCAAGAAATCTCTCAAATGAATATGTAATTACAAATTCGGGTAAGTGCTGTACAGGAAAGACACAAAACATAAACTGAAACATTTCCGGAACATAAAAACACAAAATGAAAACTTTATAAGAAGGACAACCATTCTTGGTTCTAAGAAGAAAGGAACTTTTTCCAAACATGACATAGTGTTTTTTTCTTCCAGCTATGCAACTCTACCCTTAATGAATGCGATTTTGTCTGAAACTATTCTTATTATATCCTTTCTATGATGTTCTGTCCCCATTTAATCCTTCATTATTTAAAAGTACTATATAAATATTTATTATGGAACCAAATATCTAGGTAATTTAACCCTTTTTTCTAGGTAATTCAACTCTTCTCCTGTTGCTTCATTTCTCCCTTTCTAAACACTTTCCAGTTGACTAATTTTAGCAGATTCTGGTGATTACTTCTTCCATGAATTCTCTGTGAGAAACACAAAAGTATGGGGAACTCAAAGAATAAAAAAATAACCTTTGCTGCTCTGAAGAACACTACAAGAACCCAAAAAGTTTGCCTGAAGTGAACAGAAGAAAGAAATATATATCACACTGAATATATCCCTGACATTCCACACTCTCAAGTATTAGTAAACAATCAACCCATAAGGCATTCATTTACTAAAAGCTTTCAAAACAAGAAGAGTTTGGGGGATTTCCTATGGTTAATAAATTAATAGCATTTTCCTAAATAAAGTCATGATGGATTATTTCCCCCTTGAAACAATGGGGAAAGTAACAAGAGAAAGAAAAGACTGGTGTGAGCTCCTAAAAGGATCTAGGAAAGGAATATAATTTCAGGGAGTAGGGAAGACAAGCCCTTCCTTTTAATCCATGACACATTTTAATCCTGGATCACTCAGAAGACCAGGCCAGCTAAAACAAGAGTTTATTAAAAAATTATACACCCACCTGCAGCTCACACCAAGCAACCTCAACCCATGTTTCCGTGTCCAGTCCTTTATATACTGTTTTAAATGCTCCTCTTCCCAGCTCTATGTCAAATTTCAGGAATCTGCCACTAGGAGAAGTAGCTACAGCCTTCATTTCTGCTTCTTCTTCCATTTCCTTTTCATTTTTCTCCTTGAAACAATCTTTTGAGGATTCTGAAATTGTCTTTGAACACTGTTCGTATTTAACTTCTTGTCCACCTCTTAGCATATTTGAAGGAAGTTTATCTACTCTTGGAAAATCTGTTGCAGCCTTTATTCTCTCATCTTTGGGGGAAGATTCAGCAACTCTGTCATCTTCTGTCATCTCAACACTCTTTCGGAAAAATCTCTTCCTTTCTACAGTTTCCCCAGAAGCATAGAAAGTACTGTTTTTTTCCTTCAGTCGAGTTTCCACTGTCAAAGTTGCAGCAATCTGAGGAACTATGTTTTCCAATGAAACTCCATCAGGTTTCTCAGAATCTTCTGTGCTAGCTGGCTCCCCTGAATCAGTAGCCATTGTAATTAATATTGGCACTAGATTTTTTTCCTTTTCTGCTCTTCAGTCCAGTTACATTTCAGGCATCAGAATTATCAGAATGAACTTCTTTTTATGTGTTCATATATTTCCATAGCAACCTGAAGGGGAAAAATGGATATTTTAAAATCACTCCACAAAGGAAATCATTAAGAAGTAAACAAGTCACCTGATTTTTTTAATCCCTTTTTTCTTAATAAGAAGTTTATTCTTTTTTCTGTCCAATCTTAGCAACCAGCAGACTCCAGGGAATGTTTCTTAATCTTGTTTACCATTATAGACCTCAGTGCCTAGCTGACTACTTGGCATATAGTTCTCTAACCTTCAAATGCATGAATGTTGGTTAAGAACCTAGTTCAAAACAAGTACCCAAATCGTGATTTTTGTCTAAAATTCTAGAATTAACACATAGTAGTTTTGAATAAAACAAATATTTGTTTATGATCTTGCCTGAAGATTTTAACGGAAAGAAACTACTGTCAATATTTATACACTACATTAAAAGAATGACAAGAAAGACTTAAAAACATGCATCCAGCAAGAATTCTTTGAACCAGCAAGAATCTGTGCAAAGACATTCATTCTAGCACTTACAATTTGGAAAAACTGTAACCAAACAGAAGCCTAAAAAACAAACAAACAAACAAACCCGTTGCCATTGAGTCGATTCCAACTCATACCGACCCTATAGGACAGAGAAGAACTGCCCCATAGGGTTTCCAAGGAGCGCCTAGTGGATTTGAACTGCCAACGTTTTGGTTAGCAGCTGTAGCTCTTAACCACTATGCTACCACAGTTTCCAAAAGAAGCCTAATAGGGGTTTAAATATCTCACCATGAGGTATGATACATCATTAAAAATAACACTGTAATTTTTAATGAGATGAAAGACGTTTCCTTTATCTGATTAAATGAAAAAAGAAATATATACAACAAGCTTCCATTTTTTAAAATAAATAATTTATATATAAATTGTGTGTGCGTGTGTGTGCGTGCGCACGCGCACAAGGGTATATACGCACATTTTGTGTGAATATACGTAAGGCTAGAAGGCATACAGTAAAATGATAACAGGGGTTATTAACTTGGAATAGTGGATTATGGACTTTTGTGTCTTTCTACTTCTCTGCATTTTCTAAAACTTTCCACAATATACACGTGCTACATCTGTATATAAGGAAAAAAAGTTTTTTCAAGCGGATGGTCAAATCACCAACAAGAAAAGTCTTCCCTTCTCACCACAAAGTTAAGCCTGTATACCTGTTATTATGTTAAGTGCCTTAAAACCCAACCAAACCAAATCCACTGCTGTCAAGTTGATTCCAACTCACAGCAACCCTACAGGACAGAGTAGAACTGCCCCATAGCATTTAAAAGCTATAACCTTTACAAAAGGAGCCCTGGTGGCACAGTGGTTAAGCACTCGACTGCTAACTGAAAGGTAGGCAGTTCAAACCCACCAGTCACTCCACAAGAGAAAGATGTGGCAGGCAGTCTGCCTCTGTAAAGATTACAGCCTTAGGAACCCTATGAGACAGTTCTGCCCTGTCCTACAGGGTCACTATGAGTCAGCATCAACTTGACAGTAAAAGGGTAATCTTTACAGAAGCAGATTGCCACATCTTTCTCACATGGAGTGGCTGGTGGGTTTGAGGCTGGTGGGTTCGAACCACCAACCTTTCAGTTAGCAGCCAAGCGCTTAACCACTGTGCTACCAGGGCTCCTTGTTACCATTACACCACCAGGGCTCCTTGTTATGTGCCTTAAAGGGCACAATTTGTCACAAAGACTTGCTAAGAAGGATGTCAAACCATGCTCAATATCATTAGCCATAAAGAAAATGCAAATAAAAACCACAATGAAATACTATTTCACACCCACTAGGATGGCATTATCAGAAAAATGGAAAATAACAAGTGCTAGTGAGGATGTGGAGAAATTGGAACTCTCATGCATTGTTGGTAGGAAAGCAAAATCCTATGGAAAACTCTGGAGGTTCCTCCAAAAGTTAAACATAGAATTACCATATAACCCAGCAATTGTGCTCCTAAATATACATACAAAAGAATTGAAAACAGGGACTCAAACAGATACTTGTACACAAGCATTATTCACAATAGCCAAAAGGTGGAAAAAGCCCAAATGTGCATCATCAATAGAAGAATGAATAAACAAAATGTGGCATACACACAACGGAATATTTTTCAGCCATAAAAAGAATAAAGTTCTAATACATGCTACAACATGCATGAACCTTGGAAACATACTAAATGAAATATGTGAGACACAAAAGGACAGATATTACATGATTCCATTTCTATGAAATATCTAGAACAGGCAAATGCATACAGACAAAAATAGGGAGTTATTGTTTAAGGGGTACTATATTTCTGTTTAGGGTAATGAAAACTTTTGGAAATAGTGGTGAAGACTGCACAGCATTATGAATATACCACCATTGAATTCTACACTTAAAAATGGTTAAAATGTCAAATATTATCTACTATATATTTTACCACAATAAATTTTTTTAAAAGAGAATGATGCCAAACCAAGAATATACAGAAATATTAAATTTGAAAAACTGGAGGAAAAAACAAAATAGGAAGAAATACCTCAAACTGTTCTAAACATTCAATGCAATTCCTATCAAAATTCCAAAAAAATTGCAGAAACTGACAAGCTGATCCTAATATTCACATGGAAATTCCAGGGATCCAGAATAGGCAAAACAATTTTGAAAAAGAAGAACAAAGCTGGAGGACTCACACTTTACAATTTCAAAACCTACTACAAAGCTACAGTAATGAAGACAGTATAGTACTGACATAAGGATAGACACAGAGAAGTGGAATAAAAATTGAGTCCAAGAATAAACCCACATAGTTAAGGTCAACTGATTTTCAACACGGGTGCCAAAACAATTCAATGGGGAAACCAATAAATGGTGCTGGGGCAACTGGATATCAACCAGTAAAAAAAATGAAGTTGGACCTATGCCTCAGATTATATATAAAAATTAACTCAAAATGGATCACAGACCTAAATTTAAAACCTCAAACTATAAAACTCTTAGGAGAAAAGACAAGTGTAAATCATTGTGACCTGGATAAGGCAGACTGCTTATATATAACAATGATAGCACAAGCAACAAAATAAAAAACATATAAATTGAACTTCATCAAATTAAAAACATTTGTGTTGCACAGGACACCATAAAGAATGTGAAAAGTCAAAACACAGACTGGAGAAAATACTTCCAAGTGATATATCTGATAAGAAACGCATAAAGAACTCTTACAATTCAACAATGAAAAGACAAATAATCCAATTTAAAAGTAAGTAAAGAATCTGAATGGACATTTCTCTAAAGGAGATATACAAATAGCCAATAACCACATGAAAAGATGTTCCACATCATTACTCATTGTTGTTGTTAGTTGCTGTTGAGCCAATTCCAACTCATGGCAGCCCAATGTGACCCCATGTGTACAGAGCAAAACCACTCCATAGAGTTTTCACCACTGTGACCTTTCAGAAGCAGATCGCCAGGCCTGTCTTCCAAGGTGCCCCTGGGTGGGTTCAAATCACCAACCTTTCAGCTAGTAATCTAGTGCTTCACAACTAAAATGAGATACCACATCACACCCACAAGAATGACAATAAAAAGATAATAACAAGTGTTGACAAGGATGTGGAGAAAGTGAAATCCTCACACTTTGCTGGTGGGAATTTAAAATGGCGCAGCCACTTTGGAAGACAGTCTGGAAGTTCCCCAATAACTTAAGAGTTAATATACGAACCAGCAATTCCACTCCTAGGTATATACTCAAGATATATGAAATGAAAAGATAATGTCCAAACGAAAATTTTTATAAGAGTGTTCACAACAGCATTATTCATAACAGCCGAAAAGTGGAAACAATCCAAATTTCCATCAAATGATGAATAGATATTCTGAAAAGGAGATCAAGAAAACAACTCCATTTACAACAGCATCTAAGAGAATAAAATATCTAGGAATAAATTCACCCAATGATGTGAAAGATTTTTGCAAGGAAGATTACAAAACAGTACTGAAAGAGACTAAAAAAAACCTAATAGACGGAAAGACATCGTATGCTCACGGATTGGAAAGCTTAATATAGACAAGATGTCAATACTATGCAAAGTGATCTACGTACACAATGCAATCTCGACTAAATATTCAACAGCATTGTTTACAGACATGGAAAAACTAATCATCAATTTTATATGGAAAGACAAGAGACCCCGAATAGCCAAAGCCATTTTGAAGAAGAATAAAGTAGGAGGCCTCATACTTCCTGACTTCCAAACATAGCACACAGCTACAGTAATCAAAATAGCCTGGTACTGGTTTAATAACAGACACACAGACCAATGGAATAGAACTGAAAATCCAGAAAGAATTCCAAACATTTATGGTCAACTGATTTTCAAAAAGGGTGTCAAATCCATTCAATGGGGAAGGAACAGTCTCTTCAACAAATGATACAGGTAAAACTGGATTTCCACATGCAGAAAAATGAAACAAGATCCATACCTCACACCACACACAAAAACTAATTCAAAATGGGTCAAGGGTCTAAATGTTAAATCTAAAACCATAAAGTTCTTGGAAGAAAATATAGGAGCAAAGCTTCAGGACCTGATGTTTTTCAGTGACAGATTATCAAATACAACAGTGAATGCACAAGCAACAGAAAATAAAATAGATAACTGGGACCTCACAAAAGTTAAATACTTATGTTCATGAAAAGAATTATCAACAGAGTAGAGACAACCCAGAGGCTGGGAAAAAATCTTCAGGAATGATATAGCTGATAAGGGTCTAATATCTAAAATATATGGAAAACTTCTACAACTTAATAACAAAAAGACAAATAACCCAATTAAAAACTGGGCAAAGTACATGAACAGACACTTCACCGAAAAGATATTCAAATGGCCAAAAGACACATGAAAAGATGCTCAACATGACTGGGCATCCAAACCTAAACCAAATCCACTGCTGTCAAGTCGATTCCAATTCACAGCAACCCTATAGGTCACAGCAGAACTGCTCTATAGGGTTTGAAGGC